TTAGATTTGTGACATGAGCTTGGGAAGCATAGATTAAGGAGTATCCTATTTTCATTTAAAAACACACCATTGTTTCCAGTATGTTTCAGTTTGCCTAATATTACCAACTAGATAGGGATAAGTGTCTCATTCGTGTGATATAAAATCTGAAAAACACACTTTCTATTCAATATTGATGATAGAAAGGGACTAACACACTTATTTTGCTTTTAAAATCACCTCTTAGATGCAAGCTGACAAATTATTTTATTTTATTTATCTTAAAAAGACTGGAAGTCAATAACATGAGTGTTTTAAACATTTCTTGTATGGTGGTTTAATTTCTTTCTAGTACTTTATATGGTTACTAGTAAATACACAGAACTTCATGAGTCCTCATCTGGTATCCTTTGCCAGCTATATAATGGTATTATATATGTTTTCCTTTTCTGTGTGGCTTTGGAGCCTATCCTGGGACTCACTCTGTAGCCCAGGCTGGCCTTGAACTCACAGAGATCCACCTACCTCTGCCTCCTGGGTGCTGGGATTAAAGGCGTGTGCCATCACCACCCAATCTCAAAATAGTTTTGATTTTTTATGAAGGTATTAGTTACAAGAGGAAATGAGATCAACATATGAATAACATCCGTAACATGTATAAGCATATATAGATAGCATAATTTATGTGTGTATGTTGTACATTTGTATATGTATTGTATATGTGTGTGTTTTTGTATGTAATTTAAAATCTACAGCTATGACCATAGGAAGCACAGTTTAAGAATTAGTAAAAACAAGAGTCTAAGCTTCTACTGTGCTACATACTTGAACCATATTTTTGACATAAAGATTTAATTCTTGTCATGGCAACTGAAATTAAAATATCTCTAAAGTAGTGTATTTATTCTGACATAATTTATCTATCAGGGTTCCTCTATTAATAACTGATTAATAGAACTATTAATCTCTGAACTAATAGAACTAACTAATAGAACTCTGCTGATTAATAGAATGTAATTCTATTAATTACATTAATTAATGTAGGTAGGTCATACTCTATCCCACGAATAGTCCTAGAGTTATTTCAGCACTTCTTCCTCAGAGTTTGTTGAATGTTCTTCTTCCTTACAAATTACTCTTGTAGGTGAGGAACGTTCTTCACACTTAAAATTGTCTTGTCTCAGGAGACAATACTCCTTACCCTGACAGTTGGAAGACCTGTTCTCAATATATCATATGGTTGTCACTATATTTTTTTTCAATTTCTTCACACTTGGTTAATAATCTGGTAGTGTTATGATTAGTAAAACATTACATTCTGTTATGTAACTTTAGTTATTGACCTTTAGGCAATGCTAATGAGAAATATCTATCATTTTCTGCCTTAAAATTTAAAAGCTTTCCAGCAGAAATACATATTTTTACCTCTGTCAGAATGAATACACTACTTTAGAGATATTTTAATTTCAGTTGCCATGACAAGAATTAAATCTTTATGTCAAAAATATGGTTCAAATATGTAGCACAGTAGAAGCTTAGACTCTTGTTTTTACTAATTCTTAAACTGTGCTTCCTATGATCATAGCTGTAGATTTTAAATTACATACAAACACACACACATATACAATACATATACAAATGTACAACATACACACATAAATTATGGTATCTATATATGCTTATACATGTTACGGATGTTATTCATATGTTGATCTCATTTCCTCTTGTAACTAATACCTTCATAAAGAATCAAAACTATTTTGAGATCATAATAAAGTGTATTCTCTTATTCTTCTCTTATATATACATATATGTACAAATATACATGAATCATTATTTGTTTTGAGAAGTCCTATTTTCCTTGTAATGTATAATTTCATTTTCTGATTTTTTATACTGAATATGGTGAATTTTGTAATTAGAAAAAATAAAACTGGAGCTAGAGAGAAGGCTCAGCATCAAAAAGCACTTGCTGCTCTTTCAGAAACTCTGGGTTCAGTCTGCAGTACCCACATGGTAGTTAACAATACTCTGTAATTCTGGTTCAATGAAATTCCATGCCCTTTTTGCCTCTGCAGTTACTATATGCACAGTACTTAGTGCACTTACATACATTCATGAAGTAACTCATACATATAAAATAAACAATCAAAAATAAAAAAAAGAAATCACAACACTTTGGGTAGCTATATAAAATGCTTAACTATGGGGGCTGGAGACATGGCTCAGAGGTTAAGAGCACTGGCTGCTCTTCCAGAGGTCCTGAGTTCAATTCCCAGCCACTACATGGTGGCTCACAACCATCCATAATGAGATCTGGTGCTCTCTTCTGGCCTGCAGGTGTATATGTAGACAGAACACTGTATACATAATAAATAAATAAATCCTTTTTAAAAAATGCTTAACTGTAAATAACAATTTAAAATAAGATGTAAACTTACTTAGTTGACTATATAATTTATTCTTATCTCAGAATTTACTGCCATGCATAATAGGTAGAAAGGAAAAAATATGGTGAAGGGAATAAATTAGCTGATTTTCTTAATTGCTTCGTGTTGATGTGAAATAAATGGCTCAATTGCTATCCTTATTACAGCAGCTTCTACCTAATGACTCACTGGTTGCATCTTTCGGCAAAGTGAAACTATAATAAATACAATAACATATCTGGTCATTATTTTGTTACGCTGTTCTGATTCCTAGTGAAATCCCTCTAAAACAGGGATTTCAACATAGGGAACTGGGCATCTCAGATGATTGAGGGTGATTAGACCCCATAAGCACTGTCACACATATATAGATACAGCAAACCATTCTCAATCTTTCTGATGTACCCAGCCTTACAAGCCTGTGGGATTCAGCAGAACTGATTAATAGAGGAACCCTGTTGTATTCGTGTTTCTCAGCACTTCTCACCATTCTTGACACTCAGTGAAACTTATGCTTGTTTGTACTAGTTGTGTTTAAACTGGATTCTTTGCTTGTGAAATCATCATTTTACATTGCAAATAGTTATTAATAAATCAAAGGCCTTACAGCTTATGGTCACTTACATGATTCTTAAACGAACCTATAAACTAATACATATAAAATAATATTTTAGTGAAATCTAATTGACTTGTAATGAGCTCCTGGTTTCCTTGAAATTAAGTAGTTTTGAGTTTGACTTGGTTTGAAACTTATGCTAAACTATATTAATCATATAATTTTTCACAGTCAGAACTGAAATCATGGCACTGAATCTCTAAGTCTCTGATTGTGATATGTTTCCTAACTGTTGCTATTAAGTAAGAGAATAACTCTCCCATTTAATCATTACCACTCCTTTTCTCAAATAATCTGTTAAAACTTGGGGTATGGGTTTGGTTTATTTGTAAGATTTAATAGAATAACCATGGAGTATTGTCCTGAGTAATCACAAGGTTTACAGATGTGAGACTATAGAAAAATCCATCAAATGTAAGAAAATGAATACACTCAAGAATAGATTATGTGTTTAAAGCAATTACTTTTAAATCATCAAAAGTTTGAATAAACTAACCCCTTAATATAACATTAATTTTAATTGGATATAGCAATGATTTTTTTTTTTTCCGAGACAGGGTTTCTCTGTGTGTAGTCCTAGCTGTCCTGGAACTCACTCTGTAGACCAGGCTGGCCTCAGACTGACACAGATCTGCCTAACTCTGCCTCAGGAGTGCTGGGATTAAAGGTGTGTGCCACCACTGCCTAGCCCTCAGCAATGAATTCTTTAAACTGTTTTATTATCTGAATACTTCATTAACATGATAAAAGTGAGTGGGAAACAGAGATTGAGGTCTATTAATAAAGATAATTATATAATTTTGGAAAAATAAACAGGATCTTCACAAGAAAATATTATATAAATACTATTTAAAATCAATTAAGCAATTAATACTGGTATCCAAGCAATACAGATTTTAGAGCTGTTTTCTCTCTGCTAAATGATCTCACTCAACTCTAAAGAATTTTGTAAGTCTGTCCATATCAAAAGTTAAATAATGTGTTTTATCTTACAAGATGACTATAAAATTTTCATTAAAACAGAAAAATTCTAACATTTATTTTGCTTTTTGTTTTGTTCCTTTCTTGCATAGTTATATTCAGAGCCTCATTGGCAAGACCAAGGGCAAGTTTGCCCTATATTTTTTTCCAGCTGTTTTAGGGGTTTAATATTACATCTAAACATTCAATCCACTTACAGTGATATTTTCTTTTCTTTCTTTCTTTCTTTCTTTCTTTCTTT